ATTGATCCTTGATAATGATGGTCAGTTGAATTAACGTTTATAGCTAGTGTAATAACAATGTATATGCCTTCTAGGAGCAGGAAAGCGATCTGTTGTGGGTGGGAGTAATGCCTTTACTCACATCATCAAGCCAAAGTCAGTCACTAATGAGACTAAGTACCAGGCGCACATCCTGGCTACGCGGCAAGTACCGGGATTCTCTCAGTGCTACAGTAGAAGTAGCTGCACTGGGAGTACCATTGCAGCAGTCAGTGCAAGAGACTGCTGTGTGGGAACAGATGATGGACTATCATTTTCTAATGGTGGCAGCTGTACTGCTTGTGTAGGTGGGTAAGAAAATGCTCTATTGAAGGGAATGTGTCAGTACATTAAGGCTAAATTTAGTTAATATAAGGCCCAGTGCAAGAATTAAGTTTCTGTTTTAGTAACAGTTTCTAAATTTAGCCCTCATAAATACTGCCATATTGCCTTTAAATGCATTTTATTGCCATGATTGCAGTTCATGGATTCTCTACTGCTAACTGCAGTGTAGAAGAGGGTAGGAGATTAGACATTTCATTCCAGATGAATGTGAAAGGATTAACACAGTTTGGATCTGCTCTTGTCGTGTCAGGAACAGTGTCAGCAGCAGCTAGTGGCACTGCTAGTAAGTTTTATTGCAGTATAGCTACACCTTATGGTTACTTTACACCTCTTACAGGTTCTTCTGACTTTGAACAAATCCTTCCAATACAAATAACAAATCAAGGAGTTATAAGTATTTCAGCTCTTGATGACTTCATTACACTGGAATATGATGACAGGGTACGACTGACATTCACCCCTTCAAATCCTGATCTTGTTCCTGGTCTTGAAGGTTTTGGAGAATACATCAGAGACACTTCCATTGTCAATATTACTGACACTGACAGTAAGAATTATACACCTTACATATCAATATAAATTATATGATTATGCACTCTTATCTGCAATCCCTCCTCAGAGCTGCAAATAAATTTTGATGTAGGGGGTTGTGATTACTTAACGATTGTAGAAGGCTCCACGTCTTTAGACCAACCAATTGGATTTCAGTTTAGAAGAAACCAGAACCCATTTACTTTCACTCTGACGCCATCATCTATTGGTAGAGTGGAAACACTGGGACTTGGTGGTTTATTCATTAATACAATGGCTATTCTTCCAGGCTCCAGGGCAACTGCAGGTTGGTGGACTACAAGTCTTTTTATGTCTCATCTTAAAGAGCACTCATAGTCTTTTTTACTAAACTGTAATACTGAACAGAATGAAACCCTCAGCACGTGGCTACAACTATGAACAGTAGCGACACATACCTCTCTTAAGCTCCATTTTCCTTGATCAGAAATATAAAACAACTTGTGCACATTGTTCAGAGCTGTGGTAGCTAGTGCATGTAAGTATCCCTCGATTTCCACGCACACCTCAGTTGACTTCCAAACTAATATGCAGACTGCATGAAATCTAAAATTTGCCATCCTATATTTGTTTTATCAATGTTTTTTGAAACTGTTTTAACAGTTACAGATTTCTCTAATCGTCAAATGTCGATTACAATTCCTGCCAACAGTCAAACATATGAAATCCAACAGTTATTCACAATTGTCGATGACAATATTGATGAAGATCAACAGAGCTTTGCAATAGTTGCAGAGATAGGCCCTGACGTTCTTGATGGACTCAGTTGCTTCCAGATAGCAACTGGAGACACAGATTGTCATGGACGTCGAGGAGCTGTTGAGATAAAGATAACTGATAATGATCGTAAGTTTGTAGCTAGTCTCTAGTGTCTGCAGAAACACTTATTGTATTCGCCTTCTAGCCATGATCATTGGATTTACTACAAGAGTTCGGACTGTATATGAAGATCAAGTACGTGGGGTCTATTTATTCCATCTTGAAATAAATGTAACCAGTGCAAGGACTGCTGAGAAGGAGCACCCAATAGTATTCCGTCTTCAAAAATCCGTCACTAATGCCACAATCGATACACATAATAGAGCATTTAGCTCACACTTTGATGCCATATTTGGTCTCAGAGCAAACCCAGATGACCCCATTGAAGAGACAAGGGAACTAGAACCAGGATTGCTGACAGTGCAACCTCCACTGCTAACAAATATTAGAAATGACTTCATTCCTGAGGGCAAAGACTGTTATACTATACGTATATTCCCTATTGACGTTCCTGGTCGTCGTGACCTGTTTACGTGCAATGAAGATGGAGTAGGTGCAGACAATTATTTCTGTGAACACACCATCTGTATTGAAGATGCTGATAGTGAGTTCTTTGCCAATGTCAATAGCAATATACCTGTTAAAGAATATTACTGATCATGTGAATGCTTGAATTAATTGATGTAGGGCCATTTGAAGTAGCATTTGTGAAGACAACGTACACTGTTGATGAGAGTGTGGGTGCAGTGAGTGTGTGTGTCAATCTCACACAACCAGAACTTAACATTCTTGAAGAAACTGTCAATGTGTTTGTCACTGATTACCCCAGTTCAATCTACATCCCTGCTGGTGCCTCTTTGGCTAGTAAGGTGCTTGCAAGTTAGAAGCATCTGTGTTAATATTAATTATTGTTTTCCAGGTCCAGATCCACCCGATTTTCTCAGTAGATATTCAATGATAGAAGGCTCTGACTATCCCCAGCAGACTTCTGCTGTCAACCTCATAGATAACATGCTGATTGGTGAATTAAACAGAATTATCTGCTACAACCAGACAATACACGATGACACACTTGTGGAGGCAAATGAATATCTGGGGCTGTCACTTGGAGTAAAAGATAATGCAGATACAACAATATTAACATTTGTGAAACCAATGTATGACGAGGCATCAATCCTTATCCTGGACAATGACGGTAAGAGAACTGACCATCAACTTTAGTAAAGTATGATAGCAGTACATTATAGAGGTAGCTATCAACTGTAATGTTTCATATCTCAGGACAAGAAATTTCATTTGGTTTCGATGCCACTGTGTACACAACAAGTGAGAATCAGGGAATGGTGCAAGTCAGGATTGTTGTACAAACCCCATCTACTGGAGGAACACCGCGACCATTCTCTGTCTCAGTCAGTACCACAGATGACACTGCAGGTACGTATGTAGCTAATGTCGTTTAACCACGCTTTGATTCCCAACCTCCATTCCACAGTCTCCCCTGATGACTATGTGGCCATTACTGGTCAGATAATACAGTTCAATGTTGGGGATACTAGTCACACACTCACACTCTCTATTGTTAACGATGGGAAGTGTGAGACTCAGACCGAGAACTTCTTTGTCAGCATAGCTCTTGTTAGTAGTACTGGATCCATCACCATCTCTCCCTCTCAAGCCAGAGTTTTTATCGATGAACCTGAGTGTGGTGAGTATACTACTGTGGTCTTTTATTTGCAGCTGCTGAGTGTTGGTGTGAATATTATCCATGGTTATTTGTTAATGCCCTGGGAATGGCACTGGTGAAATTTTACATGATCTACACATAATATTAGCCTAAAATGCCTCGTTACTTACATGATTGAATTAGACCCAGCGAATTGAAGGAGTGAGATAGCCCCTAGTACTAGTGGTAAATTTAATTGACACACTTGAAGTGCAGCTATAATACTCACTGAAATAACTGTTGCGTGTGCAGAAGAAACTTATTTTTGCTAGACAATGGTACCGGGTAGTACTTGGTGGGTTTTTTTATTTATCGAGAGGAAAAAATGATGTCCTGACTATTGAACAACTTTCCTCTTCTTATGGCATTTGCATGCCTTTGAAGTTCATAATTTCACCATTATTTTAATAGCAATAGTTGTTGGATTGGATTCCACTATTTACACAATAAGTGAGAGCCAGGGAATGGTGGAAGTCAGCACTTTTGTACAAATTCCCTCCGCTGGGGGAGCACCACGACCTTTTTCTCTCTCAGTCAGTACCGAAGATAATACTGCAGGTATATACACTAATTTATATTTTCCAACCCAACCACACCTAACAACATGCTTGTAATAATAGGATCTCCGGCTGACTTTGAAGCTTTGAGAAGTCATATTATTCAATTCAATACTGGAGATACTGTTCACAACTTCACCCTCACTATTGCAAATGATGGGATATGTGAGGTTCCAAATGAGAACTTCATTGTAAACATTACTGTGGTTAGTGGCACCCAACCTATCTTCATTACTACGCATCGAGCACATGTGATAGTCAATGATATGAATGAACCAGAGTGTGGTGAGTGCATTTGTGTTAGCTAATACCACAGCAAGGATTTGTTTGCCGGTTCCAACAGTTCCAACCGTATCTTTTTCTTCGGAGACATATGTCGCAGCCGAGAGTGCAGGATCTGTTGAAGTGTGTGTAATTCTAAACATTCCTTACAGTTTTGTTCTGGAGTTCACAATTAATGCTAGAGATATTGGAAGTGCGACAGCTGGTATGTTTAGACATCATGTTACTACAATATTACATGCATACTTCATATTATTAGGTGTGGATTTTGTCAGTGGGAAATGGAAAACCTACATACTCCCTGGAGCAACAGACCGCTGCATTAATATCACCATTTTGAATGATGACATTGCGTTGGAAGAAAATGAAAATTTTGCAGTGGAAATAGTGATGGCTTCTGTGCCAACATTACAGCAACTGCTGAAATTATCATTACTGATAGTAACGGTGGGTCTCTTAACACATTAACCAAACATTGGTGCTCTAATAATATTATATATTGGTCTCTTAGTTGCTACTGTCTCACTTGAAGAGACACTGTACCGAGTGACTGAAGCAGGAGGAAGTGTCCAAGTGTGTGTTAGAGTTGTGAGTCCCATCAGTGGATGTCCTATTGCTTCCGCCTTTGTTGTCAGTCTCTATACTAATGATGATGATGCAGGTAAGTTTTATCGTTATTCAGAGTGACATTTACTACTTTTCAGTTTGAAAATTGTGACATAATAAGTAACTATCAAAGGCAGGAAATGGTCACATACTGCTTTTTCTTGTAATACAAAATGTGCCTGCACACAATAAAAATTCATGTGGGGACTAGACTGGAAATTCATTACCATATATAGCTACAGACAGTATATACCTACTCTATACATGTTACTTCCCCATCTTTAGATTCTGTAACTGATTACTCTGCCGTCACGGCCACTTTAAGTTTTCAACCTTGTTCCACATTGCAATGTATCACTATTGCTATCACTGATGACTCCTTACCTGAAACCTGATGAGTCCTTCTCACTCATTCTGGAGAGATCACCTGGTCTTGACAGCAGGATCACTCTAGCTTCCTCCACTGGCAGTGTTCTAATACTCAATGATGA